ATACATTAATTAAAAAGAATAGAAAAGAGTTTTATCTAACCAGTATAAAAAATATATCCAAGACACAGAGTTAAATGGTCAACCCTGAGAAGACTTTTTTTACTTATAGTATTCTGTACTATTTAATTTTTGTTACTGTGAACATATAAACTATTACAATTTTTAATTAATGAAAACACATTAATGAAACACATAAAGGAAATCATTCCTATAGGAGAAAATCTCCAGAACTCAATTTAGTTCTAGGCTCTATTTGGAGAAATAAAAGCAAAGTTTGGTTGGTACTGTCACAGTGCACAGCTTGAGATGGGAGGGAATATGGAACATTTAAGGAAGTAAAATGAAAGTTAGTGTGGTTGGAGCACAGAGAGGAGAGAGAGAATGGAAAGAGATGAAGCTAGGGACACATGGGCCAGGCCATATGGGACCTCATAAGCTACTAGGATTTTGCTCTTCACCCTAATACTGATATGGAGCCATTAGAACATTTTAAGCAGTAAAAAGATATGATGATTAGAGATAAATTGATCATTCTGAATGCATGGGAAAAACAGACGGAGCAAATGCAAGGAGGATACGTAGGAAGCTACAGCAAAAACCTAGGGGAGATATGGTGCAGTTTGAATGAGAGTACTAGGACTCACTACTTAGGAGGTTATGATCGATGGGACTCGGAGAGCCTTAGATAGAGAATAGACACCTGTGGTTTTCAATACCATAGTCACTAGCCACGTGTCCTGCAGCTGCATTAGCCACATATGACTATTAAATTTAAATTTTAAAAAATTAAAATTAAATACAACTTAAAATTTAGTACCTAAGTCATACTAGCCACATTTCAAGTACTCAATAGCCACAAGTGTCTAGTGGCTACTATATGGGTTAACACACATACAGAATATTTCCATTGCCATATAAAATTCTACCGGACAGCATTGATATAGAATGAGAAGAAAAATAGGCCTAACCCAAAAACTGAAAAACTCTAACAAATAATATCCAGGTAGAAGAGAATGAGCCGACAGAGAAATCAGGAATGACCAGAGAATTCAAAAGCAAAGCAGGGGCATATGCTGTTTCAGAAGCCAAGGAAGGGATATATGTTAAAGGGATTGGCCGGAGTTAATGTGGCTGTGAAGTCCACTAAGACAAGAACTGCAAAATGGACATTTGATTTAGGATCAAGCCTGGTGACCTTGTCAAGGTGGAGGCTAAATTCTCTTGGGGTTAAAGAGTGAATGGAAGGCAGGATACTGAGAAAATAAGAATATTCTTGGAGAGAAAAGGAACAAATGGAGAAAAACAGTGAGGAAGAAGATAGGGAGATCCCTGAAGGGAAATGCGGGTCAGAAATGAGATTTCAGCATATTTAAATGGTAACAGGAGAGATCCAACTCAAAGGGAATTGTTCAATATACATAATCTATACTGAAGATTCACGAGAAGAGATGGATTTCAAGGAATAACAAGCTTCAGCTAGGAAGAGAGACAGGAGCTCTCTTAATAGGAGGGAAGGTTATGTAGGTAGGTAGAAGTGCTTGATAGCAAACAGGTAAAGCTTAAGGTTTTTTATTAAAGAGGTAAGGCTCAGAGACTTCAGGAGAGCAGCCTGGGCCTAACTGGTCTCTGTAGAGAAACAGAACATGCTGATCAGGGACACATGGCAAGGCAAGTTTGAGAGCCCTTTAAAAGTCAGTGTCATGAATTTAATTGGCACCAATTTGTCTTTCCTATCAACCCTGTACAGACAGGGAGGAGGGACAGAATTAGATTCATCAACAGCTAGGGCATTGTAAGAGGGGTCAGGGGCAGGTCCAGATCTGGGGAGAGGGCCCATTAAGAAAAGAACACAAAGTTGCAAATTACAAAATTAAGTACTTTGGAAGGGATTTATTTAAATGAAGGAAGGACCGTGAAGCTCAAGTGACCTTAGCTTCATGGTAAATCTGCCTGTGAGAGGAGCAAAATAAGGAGTCAGACAGGCAAGGAAGGGTCAGGGGCCCTCGCTGGACCCAAAGGTAAATAAAGGGGATAGCTGATGCCTTGGGAGGAAGCAGGGGTAGTCTGGGTAGGGATGGAGGATGGGCATGGCGCTCAGGGAAATGAGGAGAGCAAAGTCAGATAGCGCAGGCAGGGTAAGAAGTGACAGTTTAATCAAATGTATAAAATTGTCACAGAAGCCGAGGAGGGCGTTGTGCTGCTTTCATTTTTTCACAGTGGTGGAGTAGCAAGCAGGGACACTAAAGCCCACCTCCTCACCCAGTTGTGTGGGGAATGAGAAGTGAACTGCTGCCGGACTGAGAAGGCCATAGGAAAGCAGCCAACTTAAGGGAGATCCAGGTTTACCATTAAAGAGTTTTCATAAATGTTACGTCAGTGATGTAAAATAGTTTATTTCACAATAAACTACAACCCAGTATTGCTCAAGTAATTTGCCGTTAACACTTTTCTTATAATTAAAGAAAATATAAGATGAAAATCTCATTGTACTTTAAAATAATCAAGATAATGATGAATTATTTGAAAACACTGACCTATTAAATTGCATTTGAGCTACGACTACTGATGGACACTGACATAGATTATGAAAATATGTAAATACCTGAACATTGAAGTTGAGACAGAATTTGAACACCTTCAAAGTGGTGGCTTGTCATCTTTAAGTTAGGTTTGATGCAACGAATAAAGCTTGCTCCCTAGGAAAATGAAGGTACTTTTGGAAACAACAGATACAGCATCCTTATTTTTCTACTTCTATGAATACCAGCAACTTTCAAAGCAAATTAATGTTAACATATGAAACTTTTAAAATAATTACTTAAGGAATTAAAACGTTTATTGGCATACTTTTATAATATCAAGCTTAGAATGAATGTTTGTATTATAAATTAATAGTACTAGAAACATATTTTAGATCTGAATGCCAAAACTGCAAAAAGGAAAGTCTCTCACTGTAAAATATTTTTAACATATTTGAACAATACATTTTGCAGGCTAATATACATGTGATTTGATTCTATACTTAAATGTATTTATATGCAGTATTTCTGTGATAAGAAAATTGCCCTAGGAAAAGAGGAATAAAGAAAATTATGCCCCTTAAAATTTAGGCCAAAGTGTTAAAAAAAAAATTTTTTTTCAATCATTGTACTTCCAAAATATACAGAGGTCCCTAAGCTGCACTGCTGCACATTTTAAAGTTTTGTTTGTTAAATAATATTTTTAAAAGCCTAAAGGCATTTTCAATCAATTATCAGATTATGCTGAATGAGGCAGAAAGAATGCTGATTATGTATGTATACAGTGAGACTGCTGAGTGCTGATGCTAATATACTAGACATCCAAATAACTGCTTCTCTTCACAGTAGTTACCTTGCAAAACTGAATAATTATTTCAACAATCATGCTCACTGCAAACACTTTTAGAACACATTTTAGAAATGCCTTCTTTTCAAAATGACTATTTGAAAACAAAGAGTACTCAGCCAAGTTCTGTGGATTTGTGTAAAATGACTACTTTGGAATCATGCTTCTTTTATATAAACCACATATTAAATTTCTTTCTATAGTGTTTTTTTCATTTCAAAAAACAGGGTGGTTCACTAAAATGCACAGTTAAAAAATAGGCTCCTAATAAATTTTGCCTCCATAATAGGGCATAAAAATATTATATTCATTTTTTCGACATCAACATTGTATGTCTGGAGAATATTACTATGACAGTAATAAAATGAGGTTGAATTACATGCTTAATCTTTAATCCTAAAAAAATACATTCTCCTTCTCTATAATTACTGATTATTAACACCTGCCTGAACCTACAGGATAATCTTAATTTAATAATATTCAAAGAGTTCTATATATTTCTAAAATAATTTGGCCTTACATATATATGTGACCTTTCTTCAGAACAAACCTAATCAAATGATAATGATTTTAAAAGTTTATTTTTTTTAATAAAGGGAATATGGTTTAAAATGTATTTCTAATTATTCCAGGGTACTATGCTTACTTGTATAATTAGTAATCATAATTTTGGAGAACCATTTTAAAAAAACCCTGTTTTCTTTTTAAGAGTACTCACAGTACTTCGAAGTTTATCCAGAAGCAAATTTAACTGTGTCTGTGAAAGAAAGGAAATCAGTTTATTTTGAAAAGCGAAAGTACACAGTGTCATAAGTTAATATTGGAGCTCCACTATTAGAATAAAACAACATGCAATAACATCCACATATAACACATTACAATTTAGCAAACTCTTAGTACACAAACTCTTTACCAGACACAGCATCATGCAAAATGGCTAAAGTAATGCCAAGGAAAGGAACTCACTTTTCTTACACAGAACTTGTGTAATTAAAAAACTAAAAATTAGCAATACTAAAAAACAGACACACATTTGTAGGATGAATGAGGAAAAAACGTATAGGCAATGAAAATGAAAATGGTGGGGATGCATTTAATAAGAGATCAATAGTACAGTATCTGAATATGTGGCAAACTAGGTGTAGTGTGTGTCACACACCATTAAGAATGAAGACGTTTAAAATATACACTAATGGTAAACATATTAGAATTGTCTTATGGAACACTTAATATAAACAAAATTGTCCTACCTAGCTATAGAAATTCTCTTTATTATTTTAAAACATTTCACATTTCAATTATTTTTAAAAACTTGGACAATTTTCTAAAAAAAAATTGACAATGAACATTACAAGTTACTATGTTTTCCTGTTTTTATAATATTGATCATAATTGTATTCTGGTTCAGTACTTAAATTCATTTATTCACTTTACTACTCTGCAAACTAAATTAATTATGTAAAATTCTTATACCTGGATTTTATAGTGAGATGATTATACTACTTACAAAAGACAAATTAAAATGTTAATTCTTACATTAACATATTGTATTAATCATAGCTATAATTAATAATAGGCATACTTTACTGGACGCTTTCTATGAGTTAAGCACTACTCAAAGCTTTTCACAGGCATTATCATGTTTAATCCTAATTAAGGATAAAACAAACCAATCCTGATTAAGGATATATTAGCTTCATTTTACAGATGAAAGCATTGAGGTCCAAGGAAATAAATAACTCGCCCAAGATTATTGGAGCTACTAACGACAAAGCCATGATTCCAACATAAGCCTGACACCAAGTTTCATTCTTCTATCTGTGATACCACTACAGTATACTTCATATATACTGAGAGGCTTAAGTTATTAAAATGGAATAAATTTGTCATTGAATTAAAGAAATACAGCCATACCCTACTTATCTGGTTAACAGAGTTCTGACGATCAATCTGGACCACCACATAACTGAAAAGTCTAAGAGCCACTAATTTGGAAAGAAAACAACTGTCACACAGTCCTTGCTCCTTAATCCACAGACTAAGCACAGTGTTCTCCAAAAAAAGGAGATAAAGTCAAAAGAACAGAAGCAGCAAAAGTAAACTAATAGCAGCTGAGAAAAAAGGGAAGAAAATCAATTATCAAAAAACAGCAGTCAAGGACCATAAGGCATAAGGCTAAACCACCTTACGCAACTTATGCTTCATTGGTATTTTATTTTTATCTTAAAGCATACAAATATTCATGTTTATAATAGGATAAGACTTCCATAAAAAGGGATGACTTTTTCTAAAACACTAACAGTAAAAGTTTTCGATAACCTGAAAAAGTACATTTCAGTGGAAAATTTTTGGTCCCCAATGATGTTGGATAAATATTACTATAAATGGTAGCCAGTTTTGTTCTTACCACCTTACATAATTCAAACTTAATTTAATGAGCTATTCTGCCATATGTAAAATTAAGAATACTATTAATATTTCATTTCAAAGTATCTCAGAGAAAAACGTGAAATATTTTTAGTATCACTCAGTTATAGCTTTCAGTAGTCTAAGGTAAAAAATACATATTATATATAAGCAATTATAAGGCATTTCAAGGCTCAACATAAAAGATTATTTAAACCAAAGAATTTTAAGAATTTTTCTTATTAATATTGTCTAAAATTACAAGTATTGTTCCTATCAACAATACTACTATAATATATACAATAGGAAAAGACTTCATGAATGATAGCCATTTCATATAGGCTAATACACTATTTTAAAACCAATGTTATCAAATGCCTATTCAGAAATTAAAGAATATCCAAACAAGGGAAAAAACTGCTCACTGAGGGAATTAGGAACTCACAATTAATATAACCTATAATAAAATTCAAGGTTTTTTATTCAGTTACCTGAAAATGTAATATGAGCTTTCCTCTATATTTATGTTTTAGGCATTAAAAAAAACCTAACTCTTATAAACACGATTTTATCGAGTTAATTATTTAGGGCCCATTTCAATCCAAAGGGATTTTAGGAGGCTCATACTATCAGTTAGTATCACAATATCCTGATACTTACATATTGTATCTAATTATATCATTTTCCATATTTACATACATACAATTAAAGGCAAATGTAGAGTTTTATTGTAAATATAATAATACATTGTGGAAATTTATGTGAGATAAATTAATTCTATTTCTTTTTTCTATGTATTATAGTTTGTTGTTCATTAAACTTGTAATTTTTTGAATTATTTTTCCTATGCTAAATATTCAACAATTAGAAACAATTAATAGTGTTCCATTTCTAAGACACACCTTGCTGACATTCCTTGTCAGAGCTCAAAGAATAAATCCCTGATCCAAAATTAATGAAACAAATGATATATTCTTCAATGTTAAATAAGCAATTTAAAGAGTTTGCCACACCCAAGCACATATTTTTTTACAGAAGTTATTAAAAGCTTTAATCAAATTTTAGTGTGATATGCACACCCATAATGCCACTATGAGAAAAAACACATTGAAAACGAATTACAAACTGAATCATTAACTTGAGATGGGCCCTTTTTAGCATGGCAGCCACTTTATAAACAGGAGTCCACGAAGGTGATCATTTACCTGAAGCCCCTGGCTGTGCCTGCTTTTCCTCTCAACTCAACTAGTCCTCTCTAGCCATCCCGAGCTGGACTACTCCAGCCAAAACAAAACTGCTGAATGAGGAAGGAAACAGAAAACACATGGGAAAGAGAAGGTTTGAAGGTCAACCAGACAGTATGCAGAAGCAAGAACATTAGGAGAAGCAACCAGATATGTTAAGAACCAAGAAAGAACACATTCAGAAAACTGCAAGCTTTTCTGTATGTTCAATTATTAGGCCTACATTATGATATTTTACATACAAATATCAACAATGCAGGGTCTGCTATTGAACTTCACTTGTGGGATTTCTGACAGTGATCTACATTATCCACTTTAGAAAATAAAACAATATATTTCATTTTAAATGCAGTAAAAAATTCAAATAATTTATTTAACACAAATACCTTAAACTTGTTTCCCACGCTGATGAAGCTAAGTTTCCCTGCTTTTTGTTTAGTATCTTTGTTGTTATTTGTGGATGATTCAAATAATTCCCGTATAAACTTATCCCGGGATTCACATATTAAGGATTCAAGAGACATATGTAAAGCATCATTGTTTTTCTCCACAAACTGGGTCTGAAAAATAAGTTAGACAGGAATGTTTCTCAGTCCATCTTACAATAACATCCCTTAATGTGGCTCTGTCCAATAGAACTTTCTGTGATGATAGAAATGTTCTATATCTGCACTGTCCGAGTCAGTTGCCACCAGTCAATGTGGATATTGAGCACTTTTAAGTAAGGCTAGTGTATTGGAGAACTGAATTTTTAATTTCATTGAATTTAAATTTAAATAGCCACATGAGGCTAGAAGCTATCATACTGTACAGTGCAGCTTCAATCTTAAATGGTTTTCTCCTTGTAAAAATTATACTCACTGTTTCATAGCACACTGCCCCTGCAAAATGCCTGATAATGAAGCCTTCGTCATCTCTGATGTTTCTATGAACTGTCAGCTTAGACTTTCTGGGAATCTGAAAAACAATACATACATGAGTTATTAATGTATCTAAAATATATTACATAATCTTCCTTTAGAAAACATCTGAGATATAAAATACTTAAAAGTATAAAGGAAATTTTACATATTCCACAACTGTACTGCTTTTTAAACATCTAGGATGTCTTAAAGTATCAGTGAAATCTAGCAAATATTTGGTATAATCTCTTAGGAAAGAAAATAGGTGTTAAGACAAAATACACATACCCAAAACCCAAAAGCCCACTATTTAGAAGCACATGCAAAACATAGTTGGCATTTTATAAGGTTACCCTCCTATTTCTAAAGCAGTGGTTCTGACCTTGGTGCTGTATTAGAATCACCTGGAGAATTTTTAAATCTCCCAAAGCCCACACCATTTATATGAGGTGACTCCCATGTGCAGCCATGTAAACACCTGAAATCAGCATAGGGCCTCTCCCACTGTTTCAAACCATACGTCCTAACATATTTACACTATGAGCCTCAATCTATTTCAAGAAAACTAAACCATTTTAGGGTTATACCATTTAATTATAATATCTCATATTTGTATCATATTTAAAGTTTCCAAAATGCTTTCACATACAAGATCATATCTCACTCTCAAAATAACAAAAGGTTAAGAAAGGTAATCTCATTCAAAAATGAGGAAACTAAACGAAGAAAACGAGTCAGCGTACAGGCTCTGCAGCCTGTCCCACCCATTTGCACATGCCATACTGGGCATGTCACTCAACCTCTCCTTGTATGTTTCCTCAGCTGGAGCATGGGGAGGCTAATAGGATTAAATGAAATAGTTCAAACAAAAGTATTAGATAGAACAGTGCCTGGCACATATAATTGTTCCATAAATAGTTATTATATTTATTTTCAAAAATATACAATAATAGGAATGGCCTATATAAATCAGGACTTACTGCTTTATTACTCTAGTTCTCACTTGAGAAAAGCAGCCAAAGCCCATTCCTGATGCTTCAGTTTGCTAACCTTTGAGTTATATGCCTCTGAGATCCTGGTCACAATTTTGTTGACTAGTGATCAGTACCCCCGGTGAAGGTAACCATGCAGCCACAGGCTGGTCATCACAAAGACCAGTGAGCTGTGAATAGACAGGACTGTATACGTATCTTCAATTTTAGCAAGTTTTGTTGAGGATACATATTTTTTTAGTTTTATCTCCACTGAGGTAACAGAAACAGGCTCCATATTACAATAAATAATTAAAGACATAGAAGAACTTCAAGTAAATGCGGCAGTTGGTTGTGGGATTTTAGTCCCTAGGGAAGGTTAACACAATTACATCAGCTAGTCAAATAAATACATTTACCCTATTTACCGCTGCTTTTGTTAAGGATAAATGAAAACAAAAATATTTGTTACCATTCACTCAAGCTCCTGGATCCATCAAAGCAATGATCGTTATACTACATTACAATCTCAAAATAATATACAGTATGGGATGCATTTGCCTGATAGCTCCCTAATTCCACTAAGCAACTAAACAGCTTTACTTTCTCTCTCTCCTTTTTTTTTTTCATTGTTGTTGTTATCTATTAGATGAGGCTGTACCATCTTTGTGGTTGAAAGTAACATCCATATTTCTCTGTGCTAGTCGGGCTTTTTCTGGACCCAAAGATGGAGATGTGCTTGTATTACCTCAGGTGATAATGGCTGAATGAAAAGACAAACAGAATTAGGTGAACACAGGGAACACCTCAATAGCCACACAGTCCAGCCTCATGGAGAACAGCTCTACTTTTCACCACTACAAGGATTCAGGCAGTTCAGGAACCAGGTCTTCTGGCCCTTTTAGAGTGCACCTCTCATTTATTTCTACTGTTCTCTGTGTCTGTTTTTCCCTTTACTCCACCCTAATCCTTCTATTGCTTCAGCTCTTATTTCCTTCTCTGAGTATATTATCCATTCAGAACTCCCTAGGAAAGAGGATTAAAATGAATTGGCTGACCAGTATCTAACATGCATTGCTTCCACCAGACAAGAGTTCTAAGCCACAACCTTCACTGCTGGTCTTTCAAATGTGCAGACAAATGGCTGCTTGCGACTTTAGGTGCTAACCCCTGGAACATGATCAAAGTCACATGATACAAAACAAAGCAACTGATAGTCACTTACCTCAAAAGGGAGACCATGAAGAAAGCAGGTAAATCTCTTTGTTAATCTTAGGTGAAATGTACTGTTCATCCAGAGACAAGGGCCTTAATTATACAGATCATTATCATCAAAAATATGTATAAACTAAATGCCCATCTATATAAGATGTTGTGCTGGATATAATATAGTTGCTCTAAACCCTACAAAATTTATGACTCTAATTATCTAACAATATCTAATATCTAGTGTATCTTTTTAACGATTTCTCTTCCTACTACAGAGTCTCAATTTTACAATGGCAAACTCACCGTGAGTCGGAAATGATCCTTGTGCTTTTGGTGAACTGCAGATGTAAAATGTTGATCACTTGGCTGGGGAAGGCGATTTTCTTCATCCAAAATATCCAGTATTCCCACTAATTTTGCTTCAATTAAATCTATTTCAAACAATGGAAATATTCATAGTAAGGTAAAAATAACATTTTACAGATATGTGAACAATTTAATGATCATAGATTTCAAGGACTGATCAAAAACAACATAATTCTGTAAGTATTCTCTCAAAGGCTATAGAGAACAGATGGATTTTTATTTCAAATTTGGCCATTTATTAGAAAGTAATACCATATATTTAATATAGGTTTTAGAAAAACAAGTCCACAAAGAAGGCAACTAATATAATAACCATTCCATTTGTAAGCTAGGATAAGAAGCTAAGGAACGAGAAAAATCCTCCTTTTCCAGATGACATCTGTATGCAAAGTGAAGTAAAAATACAGAAGCTTTTGCAAGCAGAGCTTTTTAATAATACTTTTAGAAACTGATCTAAATGCTTTTAAGCAAAGTTTCTCAAAACAGCACATCTTCATGTTCCTTCCATTCATTCATTTGCATTTTCTGCCTATTCAAAATATACATAAAATGTAAACTGCTTAAACACAATATATAAGAAATGTTGAGTGGGACAGAGCTGTAGGAATAGTCTAACTGCGTTGGTTAGAAAATGATGCTTGCTGGGCAATTAGTGATAGCGATGAAGGGGCATGTTGAACTAGGCTATAAATGCGAGTATTCTGATAGATTTAGAAGAAGGTAGAGGTGGACTAAAAGATAAATGGAAGGGGGAAAAGTTCCAGACAAGATATCAAACCACTCAGTCAAAGACACAGGCAAGAAAGGGTACGGCATGTTAAGGGAATGCTGAGTAGACCAAGTGGGATGTGAAAGTGCTTTGAAAAGTTATATTGATGTAAAGTATTATCAGTATTATATTATCTTGTCCAAATCTAGCACATGAGTTACTGACTAGATTGTCAATTTGAGTTTTCAAAACAAGGCTTGTCCAACAGTTTATTTTTGAGATGGGATGGAAAGAAAAATAGGACTAAAAGGTAGCTGGCAGTGGGGGGATGGCAAGTTTCAGGGAAAGGTTTCCTCACTGCTAAGATAGAGAAAAGAGCCCTGTTCTCCTGCTGCACAGTATTATCTGGATGTGACACGTGGAACTTCTGAGCCAAACTGCAACCACTCAGAGGGTGTTGCCAATGCACAGAGGAGAGCAGAACCACAGAGGAGAGCAGAACCAAGAGAACTGCAGAAAACCAGAGCCGAACCCTGATACACCTCGTGTGGATCCTGGCCTAACTATGGACTTCCTCGTGTGAGATGATAAATCCCTTTGCTGCCTAAGCAATTGAGTTTCCCTCTTAAATAATTCACACATTACCTACTTAAGTAGAAAAACTCCCATCATGATAAATAGAGGAGAGACTTTAAAAAACTTTCAATAAAGCAAAATTTGATGTCTCAGTAGGAAATAACATCTAAGCAGTACCAGAGAAGTAAAGCTCTTTCAAATATGAGTTTCAAGTCCTATAACTAGTAATTCAATCACAGAGCATAGAAAAATCACTAGTAAATGTATTCACTATATCTTTCCTTATTTCTCAAAGATAGAGTTAAAAATACATACCTATACAGTCCTGATTATCCACATAATGCACTTCATTAACACCTAAACCTTCTTTTTGATAGAGTTCTTGTTCCTAAAAATGAAATAATCATAATCATATACATTGAAATACTGTGTGATATGAAATAGACTCAATGTTTTGAGCTGTTTCTGATCATAACATTTATTAATTAGAATACAGAGGTGTATAACAGCTAGTATAGTCCTAAACAGTTTTCTAGAGATGGAATAGATTTTGAACATTTGCAAACAGGCACTAAAATCAAGGAAATAGCAATTAACTACCAATGGGCTCTAATACTTACACAGTAATATAATATATATGAGGTATACATCAAATGGGGGAAATAAGCATAATTTAGAATAACATATAAATCAAAGTTGAGTCCTTAGATGTAAGCCTAGTATGTTCTTAAAAAATTTTTTTAAAGATTTTTATCACAGATGAGTACACTACGCAATGAGCTTAAGGTAATCTGTTTTAACATTATTTCCTGACTGTTTAAATATTTCTTCCCATGAGATATGCTAAAAAAGGTTTCCAACTTTCTAGAAGGCACTGTACACTTTAACTCAATCTGAATTTGAAATTCACATTTTAAAGGATGTCATAAAAGTAAACATAAATCAAGGTACTGTCTCCTCTTTATAAAGTTTCTAGATAAAGTTTCTTGCTGGGTTGGTGTGGAAGGAAAGGATTAAGTCATGTTAAATGAAATGACATGCATGTAAAACTTCACATGATAATAGAAGAACTAATGTGGCTGGATAAAACATTTTCAAAGAAACTGTCTTACTGATAAGTACTGGTTTTATCTGTTTGTTTATGCCAGAATTCATTTAACTATAGCATGTAAATAAAATATACAAAAGCTGGAATGTGCTGGGAAGCCTGTAAAGACATAGACATCATAAAAATGTGGGAAAAGATAAATGGGATGGGAACAGGAAAGAAAATATTGCACATTTCAGCCCAAATACAGGGGAGGAAAGAACTTAGAATACAGCAGTGCTAATATGAAGAAAGTACAGTGTTATGGGCCAGCAAACAAAAAAGCAGGGCTCAGACCTGCAGAAGTTACTAAAATGCTCTAGGAATTAGTTTCTTTATTGGTAAAATAAGGGGCTGGACTAGATGACCTCTTAGGTCCTTTTAACTCTACTTTCTCATTCAATAAAACATATCTCAAATAGTAGTACAATGAAAAGAAAGTCAAGGGTATTGGAAGGAAAGAGTGGAGAATCCAAATTCAGGGGAAAAATTGCGAGCCTAATCATAAATAAACCGATTCAAAGCTACCTTTACTTTCTGCACTGTAAACAATTATAAAGTAACTTTCCTAGACTTGGTATTCTGAGTGCCTGCCATATCCACAGTTATTTACAATGAGTAGTGGCAGGAATTTCCTTACTGGACCAGAGATGGTGCCTGGCCAAAGGCAAGCCATTCACAGGCTGGCTGTTCACAAAGGACAGCCCACAAGGTACCGCTGCAGGAACAGTACTGCCCAGAGCCAGTCCAGGCCAATGGCTCCATGGAATCTCCTGCCCTGGTGGCTTTGCCACTATACATAGAGAAAAGGCAAGTAGGCAGTAGAAGGGCAGCAGCAGAGAGACTTGAGAGAAGGGTGGGAGACCCCAAGGACAAGGATGAAAGTTGTTTGGCAGTGACAGAAGTAGAGAAAACAAAATTAGAAAAAGAAACAAAGAGAACTTCTAGTCTAGTAAAATCACTAGTAAGAAACAATAGATGTTCACTTCTGAGGAGGCATCTATTAGCATTTTTATAGGGTCCCTAAGCTTCAGCTGAACCATTAACACTTCCGATGTGCCCAGGGGCCCTTGCTGTGCTTTCCCAGGTTCCCTGGGCCACCATCCTTTATACCCCATCACCTCATCAAAACCCATCAATCTGGGTAACTGCAGCATGTCTCTCCTCCTTGAAATTTACAATAGTCTAGCACAGATCTTAAGTTTAAAGTATAATGGCAATTACCTCCTTCAGAATCCTTTCGTTAAAAAATTGTTGAAGTTTTTCATTGCAATAGTTGATGCAAAATTGTTCAAAACTGTTATGTTCAAAGTACTCTGAAAACATAAACCAGAACCAAGAATCATTACCAGATCAACTTCATATAACTTTATCATAAAATAAAATGTTGTATGGTGATATAGCACCTCTCGTATACTCCTGGATAGAGCTGGAACGCATTCTACTAAGGGAAGTATCCCAAGAATGGAAAGACAAGCACCATATGTACTCACCATCAAATTGGTATTAACTGATCAA